CTTTTTTTATTTTTTTTCTTCATCTTGATTCTTGTAACGTCGATCTTCAATCTTGCACGACATCACCTTCTATCTTGAGAACTCGCTCCCGGATCCATCACCATCGCTCAAATATCACTTGTTGGGGAATTTTAGTCTCCCCATCTACTACGATTTGTGCAACTTGGAAGCCAACCCACAATCAACAAGATATAAAATAACCACAATCAAGAAAAAATAACCCCAAGTTTTACGTGGTTCGGTCGACCAACTTCGACCTACGTCTACGGGGTAACAATACGATAAATTTACTATGTATCTGGGAAAACTACAAGAGGAACCACTCAACTCTCATCTCTCAATCTCTCAACCTCACATACATAATCAACTCTCATATTCTCTCCAAAACTCACTTCTTACAATCTTTTGAATGGGTAAAGACTGCGAAACCCTCTGCCAATAATGTAATCTTTTGCACAAATAAAGATCACGAAATCCTCGCCTCTTGCACATTCTTGAAGCATCAGGCTATGCCCTTTGCTAACCCTAGATTACAAGAATATTGGTTATCTCCCTTCTCCTTAGTTTTTCCTCCAACAATAGAAGAATATATATAGAGAAACCAATACCCTATCTCTATTCTAACTTCTTAATTAGAATAGGATTCAAACTCTTAATCATGATGAAATCCAATCTTCTAATTATAATAGATCTCTAACCCTATCTAATTCTCATGAAGTTATACGATGAATCAAAGACATAATCCTAATACATAATACAATACAAACAACTTGGCTTCTTCCTTGTGCTTTCTAAAGAAGGAAAAAAAAACATTCACAACAATACTCGGAACATACTAATATTTGACAATTTTTTATCTTATTTCATGGACGTTGGGCAAGGTTTTCATTTATAAGTGAGTTGCTTGAGTTCTATTGCAAAAATGTAAATTTTTTTACGGTTTCTTCGATCCCTTAAATCTTTAATATTTTGAAATTAATCTCTCAAATTATTGAATTAGCTACTAGATTCCGTAATTTATATATGATATATTTTGCTACCCTTACTCTTAATTGAAGGGTTAAAGGGGTTCCACCTCTTCTTATCCATCCAAACAGGTTAATTTGGTCAAGGGTTAACAAACCTTTTATAAGGGTTAAAGTTAGTTAGCCTCTCATTTAGAGGGATTAGCAAATCTGTCTAAAGAGAAGAAATAAGATTTACTCCATTTGAAAACTTTAAAAAATAATGTAGTTTATGATATGTATGGCAACTGACCTCATTAACCCTTTTTTATTTGCCAAACACAAAAAACTTAATCATCCATCTTGATTAAAAAATCCAAGCAAAAATTAAATTATTTTTAACCTCTTGTGAAGGGTTAACTAATTTAATCATTCTTCTTAACACTTCTCCCTCAACCTCTTGCCAAACAATACATTTAAGAATTTGAGGACCAAGAAATTTCAATGATCTGGTTGTTGGATTGTGTCTTTAATTCTTTTTATAATTTAATGAGAACTAGATAGGGCAAGAGATCAATCATAATTAGGAGTTTGGGTCTCATCATGATTAGTAGTTTGAATCCTATTCTAATTGAGAAATTAGGCTAGATATAGGATTTTGGTTTCTCTATATATATTCTTTTATTGTTAAAGAAAAAACCAAGAAGAAGAAGAAGAAGAAGAAGAAGAAGAAGAGAGAGCCAATATTCTAAAAATGTAGAGTTAGCAGAGTGCGTAGCCTAATTCAAGAATATTGTGTAGGAGACGAGAGTTTCGTGGTCTTTATTCATGTAAAAAATTACAACATTGGGAGAGGGTTTCGTGGTCTTTGACCGTTCAAAGATTGTGAGGAGATGACTTTGGAAAGAATATGAGAGTTGATTATATATGTGACGTTGAGAGATTGAGAGACGAGAGTTGAGTGGTTTCTCTTGTAGTTCTTCCTGATACATAGTAGATTTCTCGCATTGTTGCTCTGTGGACGCAGTTCGAAGTTGGTCTACCGAACCTTGTCATTCTCGGTGTTCTTTCTTCTTGATTGTGGTTGTTCTATATCTCGTTGATTGTAGGTTGGCTTCCGTGTTGCGAAGACCGTAGTACGCGGGGGGACTAAAATTCCCCAACACAGGTGGATTGATCTTAAGAATTTTATAAGAATTTAGAGACCTAGTGACAATTTGAATGATTTAAGGGGTTACTTTGGAAAATAGATATGAGAGGCTAATTAATATTGGAAAGCCGAACTGGAAATAGGGCATATTAGCACAAGCTTAGTCCTTCGCATTTCTCCGGAAGACGGTAAACAAACAAACACTGGAATAAGTCCGGTTAGGCTCGTGTGAGAGCTAATCTTCTGTCCATCTAAAACGCTCACCGCAAAAAGATAATTTACCCATTCCCCCCTTAATTATAATAGAAAATTTAAATTAAAACGCAATGCATCTTAATACATATTGACTATGCATGGATCATAGAGACTCGTTTATTTAGCACGCTTAACGCGTGATTTATGTCTCAAAACATCCTGAGGATCGAGCAGGTGACTGTTTTGACCGGTGATGAGCTCTTCTAAAAAGCACGCCTCAGTGAAAGCAAATGCAGCACAAATCCTCTGACTTGAGCTTTAATTAAACGGCGGTCACGCACCTCACCCAAACTCGGCGGTCGCATCACCACCGGTCACGGCTACGCTGTAATTAATCTTCTAGATCAAATCGCCTTCTTCGGTATCTCCCTGGGGCCAACCGCCACTATATATTGACTAAATCTTCTCATAGTCATTGCATCTTTAAAGCTAGATCGCAAACAACGCCACGTCTCTTGTGTAATATTTGCAGCCGGATGTGTGGCTAAATTAAAAATTTAACAAAAAATTAAAAAGAACCTCCAAATTCTCCGCCTGTAAAAAAAACGTCGAGCCATTTACGGCGTTCTTTACCCCTCCTCTCTCTCTCTCTCTCATCTCTATATTAAACTTCAAATGAAAATAAAAACCACGTTTAATTGGTCCATTAAATTTTTGAAAAGTAGAATAAAAGAGTGAAGGTAAAAGTAGATGCCCCAAAGAGCATCTACCAAATTAAAAAAAAAAAAAAGTAGATAAAGAAAAATAAATAGTAAATCATGATATATTCCATAACAATGAAGCGATGGGCTACTATTTGTACTTTTCGTATCTTTCAAACCTTTTTATCTTGGGAGATAACCTCCACAAGGGAAGTGTAATATTGGGCGCCTCATTGACTCATTCCATTGAGCCCAGCAACAATCCATTGAAGTCGGTTAGAAGATACCTTTCAAACCATTGTTTAATAAATTTTAGGGCTTTTTGTCTTTAGGTCCAATAGTTTACCTCCCTTTATTTTTAAACCCAAGTAGTATTAGTTGCATCTCTAAGCCCAAATTTCTTTTTGTATTTATCTTTAAACCCAATTCCAAAATATAATACTCTTATATGTGGGTCCCCCTATATAAGAAAATTGGGTTTAAAGACAAATACAAAAAGAAATTTGGGCTTAGAGATACAACTAATACTACTTGGGTTTAAAAATAAAGGGAGGTAAACTATTGGACCTAAAGACAAAAAGCCCAAAAAATTTTAATAAACAGAGGTTATATCTACAAAAAGGACAAAAAATAATAATAATAAATAAATAAGTGGAAAATTCTTAAAGATGGGTAAATATTCACTAAACTCGCTTAAGTTAGGCATTTCTCATATACACCCTTAACTTTAAAATACCAGTATCTATCCCCTTAGATTTTGGGGTGCTCAAAAACCCCCTTTCACTTTTCAACATTTCCAAAAAAAAAAAAAAAAAAAAAACCCAAGAAGATTGAACCACCCTTTTTGCTTGCAAATATACACCTACCCCCTAATTTTACCCTCCTATATGATCATTGCCGGTTAACGCTATTGTTATAGCATACAAATAGTTGAGTGTTGATCTCCACGAGAAGGCCGACACGTGTCCCACCTTATGCATAATCAGCCGCATTCGAAGAGGGACGACTCGAGCAACACTAGCGGTCGACCCAATAGGCCAACAACTTACTCGGTCGACTAAAAAGACGATACTTACCGACCTAGCTGCAGGATCAAGATGAGAAGCATCCTCACTCGCCCTACCATTCCAGTTGAACCTACTCATTATCGGCACTCGGCCTTTCTAGGCTGACAACTTACGAGGCCGATTAAAAAGACGGTGTTTGCCGGCCTCTAATGAGATGAGTCGGAAGGCGGTGTATCCTTGAGCCCTCCGCCGACAGTCAATTTCCATCACTTTAATATACATAATCAGAATCATTATTGCTCCAGCCTTGAAAGTCTTTATGACTCGTTAGACCTCGTCAGCACTATGTGCATCCTGTCACACTCACATTAAACGTTGCGTGACTCATCCCCTTTAGCGGCCGACACCCGTAAAGCAGATGGCGATGACGACTGAGCCGCCAGCTTGGCTCGGTCGAAGTTACCTATCTACCCTTCTGATCTGTTATAAAAGAAAACCGAGGACTGCTGCCTAGGGAAAGCTATTCAAAATGATGCTAAGCAATTGTCTTTCCAAAAACTTAACTCTTACTTCTGCACTCAAGCTCTGAACTGGACTTGATCTTTGGAGGAACCACCAGAGATCCTAATTCCGACCTCTCACGAGTTCTTCATGTGCAGGACATGACTTATGGCTCAAAAATCAGCCATCGCGAGGAAGTTCGAGGACCCTAACACCCCCCCCCCCCCCATAATCCACAGAGAACCTCATGTTTCAATTAACTGACCAACGGCTTCAGAGCGTTTCTGGAAATTGTTGGAAGTTGAAGAGGGTGTACACGAACCCCAAAAGTTATAAGGGGGCTTTGAGAAATTTAACCAACAAAATACTGCACGTGAGAATCACCCGACCTCTTGCCAGTCAGCAGTAGCTGGCCGCCTGGCCGCCCCCTTCATACCACTATTTTCGATTACTCCCTCCTTCCGTTATAAGCTCTTTTTTCTTTGTCTCCACGCGCAGGAATTCTTCCGTTCCCCTCCCCTTATTTATACTGCTCAACGCCCCCTCCCCCGCTCTCTCTCCCCTTTATTCATCGTTCGTCCTCCTAGGAAGGAGCGAAAATGGCCTCTTCTCAGCCCCCGCTCTCACCGCCGGTGACCGCACCCTCCTCTCCTCCTTCTGCTTCTGGTCACCGCGCGGTTCTCCTCAGCTCAATCACCTCCCTCCTCCTCCTCCTCCAGTAATTCCAACAGCCCGTACCTCTCGAACCCTAATTTTAACCCCTCGATGGCCATCGTCATCGTCGTCCTCATCTCCGCCTTCTTCTTCCTCGGCTTCTTCTCCATCTACATCCGCCAGTGCGCCGGCGACCGCCGCGGCTCCGAGGCCTCCAACGCCCCGCAACCGCGGCGCCAACGCCCGCTCCCGTCGCCAGCGCGGACTCGACCCGGCGATCCTCGCGACTTCCCGACCCTCGTCTATTCCGACGTCCGGGACCACAAGCTCGGCAAGGCTCGCTGGAGTGCGCCGTATGCCTGTCGGAGTTCGACGACGACGAGAGCCTCCGCCTCCTCCCTCGCTGCGATCACGTGTTCCATCCCGACTGCATCGACGCCTGGCTCGCCGCCCACGTGACCTGCCCCGTCTGCCGCTGCAACCTAGAAGAACCCCCCGCGGACCCGCAGCCCGAAATCGGCCAAATCGACCGAACAAACGCGAACGCCGCTCGGCCCGAACCCGAGCCTCAGCAGGTGGCGATTCAAGTCGGCCCAGCCGAAGAGGACGAAGAGAGGAAGGCCGAGATCGAGAACTTGGAAAAATTCGTCAACACGAAGAGGGCGCGGTCGAGGGCTCGACCAGCGAGGTTCCCGCGGTCGCACTCGACTGGGCACTCACTAGTGATGCCGGGGGAGAATCTCGATAGGTTCACTCTTCGATTGCCGACGAATATTCGAAAGGAGATCGTGGAGAGGGCGGAGATGATGCAGAGGGCGAAGAGCTTGGGGGTCTACCCAGCTGAGGGAAGCTCGAGGCGAGGAGGAGGAGGAGGAGGAGGGAGGAGCATACAACTGGGGAGGTCCGATCGATGGGGGTCGTTCTTGATGAGGACGCTCTCCATGAAGATGACGAATTGGGGGAGGAGAGGGGACGGCGATGGGTCGTCGTTGATTAGGGGGTCGTCGTCGATTAGGGGCGGGTTTTTCCGGCGAGGGGATTCGATTAAAGGCGAGGGGTCTACGAAAGGAGGAGGTGTGAAGTTCAATGCTTTTGATTGCTACGGCGGAGCGGCGACGAAGAGCGAGGAGTCTCAATCGTCGGCGTTTAATCGGGTGTGAACTATTATTTTTTAAATTGATTTTTTTTTGGGTATTTTGATTTTCTTTTTCTTTTCCTCTTTTTCTTTTTATTTTTTTTATTGGGTGATCTTGGATTAGAGAAGGATTACTGTGATGTTTTGCCGTTGAGGTATGTACAGAGATTGTTAACGTTATAAATTGGTTAGATAGGTAAAATAAGCTATGGTTGTTGTAAAATTCAAGGTTTTTTTTTTTTTTACTCTTTACAGAGATTATTTAGTTCAATATTTTGTCGGTTCTTTATGTCTTTACTTAAAAATGCTGCTCTTTTTGTCAGCATCAAAAGTGATAGAGAAATAGGTATTTTTCTCGTTTTCAAACGCACAAAGTCTAATATTGGTCTGTTCCCAATATTAGACTTTGTGGTTCTCAACCGTTTTTTAACATGTGGTTTAGACTTGTTGAGGTTTAAACTGAGTGTTAAATATTAGGAGTTGGAAGTCGTGTGCTATTTATAGACAAATAGAGAAAACCCCATAGCATTTCCTCTAGAATTATTTAGAAAATAAACTTTTTTTTTGACAAATTACCTAATACAGTTTCGTATAAGATAAAAATCATTGTTAAAAATGATTTCCCTCCGAATTCATATATAGTTTGATACTTTGATTGTAAATAAAAAAAATCATCTAAAACCATATTAGGTTGTAAACTGAAAATATACACGAAACTAATATTTATTCTTTGAACTCATAGTTCGTGGAACCATGAGTATTGTTATCAGCAAACAGACGCATCAGCTATCTAATAGTTGGATTTCGGATCAAAAATTGATTTCTATTGTAATTATTCCCCCTTTTTTTTTAATAAAATGGCTTTTTTTTTCTTTTGCCTTTCACATTGCAAGGATCAATCTATATAAGTTTTGCTACAAGGACCCAAAATATGGGACCAACAGGGGGACATGTGGGGTGTCCCCTTCTTATTGCTTAATGAGCTGATCATCATTAATGATGACTAGCTTATTTTGCAATAGGAGGGAGACAGCTCACTTGTTCCCTCTGTTGGTCCCATATTTTGGGTCCTTGGGGAAGTTTGGAAGTTAAAACTTGTGATGAAACATAATTGTTTAATCTAGACGGTGGCCGAATCTTCCCATTGGTTTAAGCTCCCAAGGCCAATGGGGAGTGAGGAGCGGTTCTCGTCATTAATGGCGGCCTTTTGTCACAAAAAAGGGAGAATAGGAACGAGAAAGCAATGGTCAATAACGAGCCAATTTATATTAATTATCAGAGTATTTAGTTGTAAACAGAATAGGGTTCTTCACTTCAAATGAATGGTCGTGTGAAAAAGATTGCTTTTGGATTTGTATGCCATCTGCTCCCTAAGATTCTTAATGACTAATCTCCACCTAATAGGAAGTTGTTAATGATACTAATCATATCACATGAATTGATTACATTTTAAGCTAGAGGATAAGTATTCTCATTTGTGCTAGTGAGGGGCTGAAAACTAAAATATGATTTATGTCAGCAGTCCATTGGACTAAAAGAAAAGTCCAAATTAGACCATATATAAGAACGAGTCCCTTGAAGCATTTGTTGAGCTAAATACAATGAATTATTCTTCATTGTCTCAATGTCAAGTTATAAGGAAATCTCTCTCTCTCTCTCTCTCTCTCTCTCTCTCTCTCAACTAATCAACTCAAGATAACTGCTGCCACTAATGATTAAATTAAACTAAGCTTAGTTAACTGCTGCCACTAATGATTAAATTAAACTAAGCTTAGTAAACTTCCATGGATTGGTTCTTTCTGAGCCGAGATCGAAAAGCATAAAAATATGTCAAACAGCTCATACTCATGGCCCTCATATTATATTGTTATTATAACTGTCGAGAAATAATTTGGTGTTCGAGAAATTCGAAAACTATCCGGGTCTGGGTTAGGATCAGTCAGCTTAATTCTGTTTTAAATTAAACTAATTTTGTTTCGGATTAGAGGGAGGTGATCCAAATTGAAACCAGTTTAAGAGGACGAATTCGGCCTCAAAAGAAATTGGGCTAGTGTTGGCCTAACTTTTTGCTGAACACAATTTCTTTTAAAATGAGACCATGATTAAATCTGATTCTTTATGATCTTTTGAGAAATTGCCAAGGACAGCGTTAATATGAGATTTCAATCTATAGTCAAATCATGTAAGATTTAACTGTCCTATAGAAATTAGACATGCACATTGGTGGTTCGAGCAATATTTAACAACTTAATATGTTACAGGTTTCAGTTTTGTTTTCTAAGTTTGCTACTACTATCTTTGTAAAACCTTGAAGAACTTTGTGAATGATCCTCTTACTGCATCGAATAATTTGTGGGCGGTAAACAACCACTGCTCCTCTCATTTCTCTACCCTTTTTCTCTTACCCTTCTGAATTTGGGACTGCACTTAAATCGCAAAAAGAGATTAGTACATCACTGTTCAATAAAATACTCCAAAGAAAATTTCACCATTCATTCTTACATTATTGTTATTTTGAAATTCATCATGATAGATTATTATTTCTCATGTTGTAAAGTATGTGCAGAAAAAGCCTATGTAAAAAGTCTAATAAAGAGTCGCATATCGAAAAGGAATTTTTCGCAGAAAGCATATCTAAATTATGCTGATAATATGAAAATCAACTTTAGAATTCAATCAGTACAGAAATACTTCTAGAGGGGGGTTCTAATAACAATCAAGCACCTTGAACTCTAAGTCTTGAACACGCTTCTATCTCAGAAAAAAGAATTGAAGGTTGAACTTATTGAGATAGGCAAGAAATTAGACTAATAGAAGACCGGAAGAAAAAGATTGGAATATGAAAATAAAATACCTAAAAGCTTCAATCTAATTTTACCATATATATGTCAAGATGGCTGACGGCTTTCAGAACAAAGATGATGTACATATTGTCACCAAATTTTGAAGATGTTTCCTCAGAAAAAACCTTATTCCAAAACCTTAATTCTTTTTAAGGTTGCATCCCTCCTTTATATATAAGGCGAAAGTGGTGAAATTCTTAAAGCCACAAAAAATTAACGAGTCAAATTATAAAGACATAAGAAATTGACAAGTACCATATCATAAGTATCTACATGTACTTTTATCAGCCTATCCCATCAAAAGATGACATGTAGACACTTAATCTTATAGTTATTAATTCAAAACTATCCATAAATTGAAATTTCTAATGATTAAATATTTTGTAATCCTTATCAAGATATAGATATCAATAATTACAAAAATCTCAAAATTATATATTTCAATATAGAAATTATAGGGGAAAAACTCATGTACAGAGTCTTTCTAAAAAAATATGGATTAATTTTTAGAAAAGCACCCTCAACTATTTTAATTCAAAAAAACCTCATCAACTATTTTAATTTAAAACCATCCCCCCCCACCCCCCCCACCCCCACCACCACCCCACCACCCCACCCACCGCTCATTCAAATTTGGAACATATTGGATAGACATCCCCCTCAATTATGAAAATTTGAGATAGCTCCTAGAAATTTCCTCATTTAACCACCTCAATATGGGGTGTGTCTGAGAAAAGCTCTCTTAGTTATTTTAATTAGAGAAACCTCATCATGTTTAAATTTTTGAGAAATTCCTATAAACTATTTTGCTTTTATGTCTTGAAAGCTAACATTTGATAAGTCTAGCATGTTACATGACAAGTACGTAACTAAGAAACCAAAATACCCTTCAATCATAGGAAATACATTGCTTTTTTGGATGTGAATAGGGTGGGGGGGCAATGTAAATTAAATTTTTTACCGATTGGAAGTTTCATTGTAATTATCTGAATTGATTTTAAAAGGGTTTTCACTTATTTTACATTTTCAAATGACATAAGGGGGGTTTGGTAAGAAAAGTGTGAAAGATTAAGGGGATTCTCACACATAGTTGAGAGGATTTTCTCTGATTTTCAAAGTTGAGTGAAGTAATCTATTACATGCCCAATCTTTAGAGTTATTTCTTAACTTAAAATAGTTTAAGAGTTTTCTAAGAAATCATTATAGTTAAAGGGGTTCTTCTAAAATTAACCCTAAATCATATATATATAAAACTATATTTAAAGTTGATGAATTGGACTTTTTGTTAAATTATTAATGTGAACTTATTATTTTTCTTGTTATTTATTAATTTGGTATCATATCTTTACTGATTTTCATAAAGAAATATTTTTGGTTCACTTGTGTCTTTCTTTAAAAATTTTAATAGAACACAAGATAAAAAATATAACATGTAAAGATTTAGAAAATTAAAAACTTTCCCATTTCCAAAGTATTTTTTGCAATCCAAAAAATAAATGAAATTATCTACACAAATTACCTAAAATATTATCTCGAATTCTTCCTGCTTTATTTTTAAATAATTTTATTAAAAATCTAATGCGTTCTTAATATTATTCTAAGAAAAAAAAATTTGGATTCTTAAAATATTTTTATTGATATTTGAAAACTACATACACTTTTCTAATTAAGTTGAAATTCTAATTCAAGCATCACAAGATTGAGGTTTAAGTGTGAGTTTGTTTTAGAATTCAATAAGTGAAAGCTTTATATCTCATCTAACTACAATGTTTTATTTTATTTCTTTGTGTTGAATGGTTTAACTAAATAAACTCCTTAGTTTATATCAAATCTCAAAAGTTTTCATAATTAAATATCAACTTTAGATGATCTTATCAACTAGCAGGAGTGCCAAATTTTTTTCATATCATTTTTTATTTTTAAATATTATATAAATAGAGATATTACATAGAAGAGTTTGATGGTTAGACTATCTAATTTAAACTTTTACATATTAAAATAAAAAATATCCATGCGCTCATTCGGCAAGCCAACCTTTTCTTTTTCTCTTTTTATCTTAGAATATTATAAATAGAGAGGAACATTGTAAATGAGAGGCTAGTAGTTAAACTATCTAATTCTATAATTTTTAAATTTTAAAATAAATGTCATCCACCCACTTATTTCAAAATTATTTTAAGTTCAAACTAATTGAAGAAAAAACTCCAATTCAGATTATCTAATTTTCAATAATGCATATGTTATAAGCCATTGGTGTAAGCCATTTGTTTGCTCATATCCATAAAATTACAGTATATATAAAAAATATAGAAGAAAACCTGTAGTTTAATCAAAAAACTTCAACGACAATTTAAGTTAGAAGCACATGCATATGACTAAA